AGGGCAGGTACCTTGTTGAGAGCAAATGGAGATTACATGGTGTTTTTGACCTCCAAGCTCATTTTGTTGGAGCAGTTACAGTCCATCCCAAGGGGAATCTGTGGGAACAGAATCCAGTGAGAAACCTGTATGTAGCAAATTTACAAGGACAGCTTTAGAAGTGAAGTTAGCAAGTTAAATACGCCCTTCATTCTGGTACTAGGCAACCCTCTTACATCCAGACAGCACTAAACGCTGGTGTGGCCACACTAAAGGCATTGGGAGGAACATTTCACGCAGAACATCTTCAAAAGTGAAGGTTAACGAGACAATTTCACCTTCATTAGTTTGGCCCCATAAAGGGAAAGTTAGATCTGGAAAATGACAGAATCTTTACATTAAAAATTAGGATAAATTTCTCAATTCAAAGAAGAAAATACTACCTTAGATGAATTTTAACAAAAGTTGTCTTTCCACCATCCTGATTGACAATTAGTCAATTTAAGCTCTTCTAGATTTTAGACCCCATGGTTTTTCTATGGAATCAAAAATTATAATAAACATTTTTTTTTTTTTTCGCACAAAGTAGACTGATTTCTCTAGATAAGCTGAGCTGAAACTAAATTATTAAGTTGAAAAAATGTTCCTGACTTATTTCTAGATGCTGTCCTTTCAACAAGTCATTTTTAATCCTGGAATAAACCAAGTGTTTGTATTTCCAATCACTTGAGACCTTTACAGCACACACATGTTAATGTGTCCTTAGGAGGCAATAGTTCTGTAATTAAGCCAATTTTAAGCCTCCACAGTGTGAAAACCAGTTAACATGTTTTTCAAAGCTGTTTCACATTGTAAGATAAACATATTCTTATTAAACACAAACCAGCTATTATTAAAAAAAATGCAAGCAAAGTAATGCTAATTCAGGTGAAGCTGACCTAAACTTGCATGAAAATTAAACATTTGACACGCAGGCAGTTGTGACAGGTGCAGCACTGAGATTTCAGTGAAGAGAATTACTCTCTTGAAAGCGATGACTTTACATTCTTTTTATCTTAATGTGTTTGTTGGTTTGTATGCAGAAAAAAAGGTTCCTGCAGAAATATTATGATTTACAATAATTCCCGAAGGACATCGTTTATAAAATATACAAATTAGTTCCAAATCCTAGTTGTTTTGCAGAAATATAATGCCAATAATTCTTAAATAATTGGTATTTTGGGACTTTTTTTATTTAAGCTCTGTCAACTTAATACATTTTATTAATTTCTTTTTAAGATCTTCTGAAGTGTTTCTACAAAAAAGGGCTTATAAACATGGCTTATAGCATGTCAGCTAATTGATGGTGGGTTTTTGTAAAACAGAATTCTACTGTAGGCGGTTACAAGGTGACACTTTTAACCTTTTTTAGATTTGAACAAAAAAAGACATTGCTTTTCTTCCCTAGTAGAGAATCTTTAATCTTATGTTTACACATTTTCTTAGATTACCACCAGGAATTAAAAGCATTTTTCAGGGATTATATGAGATAGAGCAAGACAAATGGGTCATAATTACCACTAATATATTCTTTTTTTGTTTGTTTTTTTGTTAAAAGTCTAGAAATGGGAGATGTCATGTAATTCGTTTTTTTGTACAATAGAGAACAGTGGTTTCCTAGTCCCATCACACAATGTGATTTTGAATGCGGTCTGGACTGTAGCTGGGAAGTTCTAGCATGGTTGCTCTTCATGCATTCTTATGGTTGCAGTCCAACTCTCCTTGTTATTAGTTGAATAACAAGCCTCTGCAGCCTCCAGCAGGTGTCCTGTATTGGCTACATCCCTCTTTCCATCAATTTCTCCTTCCCCTGCTGCAGAAATGATCTCCACAGATATCACCAAAATATTTCCTCTGGCTATTTTATTCTTATCTGACCAGAAAACTTAAAGTTGTGTTATAATCTTTAGTTTTTGGATTGTACATCGTTCTCTGAGAAGATGTAAGCTTTAGATGTTTTATAATCTAACTTTATTTTGAAATTCTTTAGATCTTTATCCCTAACATGTTGTCTTTGTCCCTTTCCTTTTTCTTCCCAGTGACACACTATCTCATATTGGTCTATTCCTTAAAAGCCCTATAAAATTCATTAAAGTTTGGGCTTATGAATGTGAAGAGGCCTAAAAACATGCATTTAAATCTATTTCCACTGTTCCCCCACATGAAAACAGCTTTAAAAGATCTTTAAAACATCCTCCTGCTCGATATTTGTAATCTGTTCTGATTTATTTTAAGATGAAATAAGGAAAGGGTTTAATGGTGACACCTTCCACCAATGAAAGAGGTCTGAAGTATTTATGAGATCTGGGTTCACTCACCCAATGTCCAAGTAGGCTCTGAGCTGAAATTGGATTTCTGTCATGCTTTCGGTCAAGCTCCGAGTTCAACCCCTGATTCCTGGTGGTTGGTCTCCGGCTGGTGAGCTGATCCATGGGACAGAGACTGATAGTTAAGAATAAAGTTCACAGGATAATGTATTCATGAGTAGATCAAAGTCTGAGAGTTCAAGCTTATTTAACGCCGAAACTTGCAGCTCTAACCTTTGAAAGACGCCCGACCTGGAATGACATTAAAGCTGCGGCATTCTCCCGCTTCCACACAGAACTAGACATATTCTTTGTTGCTCCAGCAAATGAGTGTTTTTTTTTCTGTCTGCTAATAAATAAACAGCATGCATATTTCATAAGGTGGTAGCAGAATGTGTAAAACATATTGATGTTAATGAGAGTTTAAGGTTTATTTAAGTGAACGACAGATCCAGCCGCTGCTTTGTGCGCAGTGATGGATGAAAGGAATAACATGTTGTTTAGAGGCTGTGAATACTCCTGATGTGTGCTCGCTCTGATCATTGTGGCTTTATTCGCTCTGATGTGTACAAAATGTCTTGCAGAGCTGCCATGTTCCTCATTTTCAATCCTGATGCAGAGATGACTTTATTAAAACTGCATCTCTGTTCCCTCTGGTGCCATTTATTAACTGTCTTCTTTGTATGACAATTAAGTAACGTGGCTTCACAGCATGCAAAGGATCATGGGCACTTGCTGCTGTCTTGGCTCACAGATCAGTTGGTTATATGCTGCAGTCTGCTGTCCTCCTACAAAGACTGTTTCTACTTGGAAAGAATGTTTTAAAAACATTGTTTCTCTTAATTACCTTCTACTGATTCCTTAGAGTGCTGACTATTTTTCTCTAGTATTAACACCTGCAAAAGAAATACTGGCCATGCTTAGGTGTAGGAGGAAAGTATGGTGGATCCGATTTCTGTGGGCTTTTTTTTCTTGATTTTGAGGCGTTTGTTTCTGGTTTTCACTGTTTTTTGGGGGGGATTATTTCTTTATCTCATGCCTTGCTCATTTGATTATTCAAAGTATCTGTTTAGTTTTACTCATGCTTCACTTACCAAGTCAGTATTATCGTTTCCACTTGGTTCACATGAGAAGTTTGTTTTCTTCATACTTCACGTGTTATGCATTGGGTTATGTTTGATTCACTCCTTACAAGTCAATATTATTTTCATGCATACTTTGTCAAGCTTTATCAATTTACATAATGTTTTTTATTTTCATTTTTTGTAAACCTTTTTTCTCTTTAATAACAGCTACTTTAGTAATAAAGTGAAATGCAAGCTTTCAATTAAGAGTAGACTTCTCTCCCTTCAGCTCTAAAAAAGCTTCAGCTCTAAAAAAGAAAATGACCCTGATCATTATATCTGTTTTAAAACCTGTGTGTCTCTTATTGTTTTTGTTTTTTTTTGTTATCCATGAAATAAAACCTAATTGCCTGTTGTTTTTGTTTCCAAGCTGAACAGAGTTTCTAGATACATGTGATTACTAATCTATGACATCATGTATATCTTAGGTATAAATAGACCGTAGCCAATTTCTCTTAAAAATGGGAAAAACATAAAATTAGCGACCTAACTGAATGTCCTGTCAAGAAACAGCTACAATATAATTGCTTCTCATTAACTTTCTTATGTTTACAGTTAAGTAAAGAGTGTTATGATCCGTTTACAATTCTGACCCAATTGCAGAGATAACATCTCAGAGAACAAGGCAAAAGTTTAACTGGTTTATTGAAGGAGTCGAAGGAGTTGGATCTGGGAGTCAGTAAGCCGGTGACCTGGAACTGGAATTGAGAAGGGAAGTTCAGTGGTTAGTTCAGGATCTGTGGGAATCATGGAAGCTCTGAGATTTTTTGCTAGGTTGAGAACTCTCGTTTGAGGGGGGCCTTGTTAGTCCTTGAATCCAGACTGTGTTGTAATCCAGAAAAGGGTGCACAGTTGGAGGGCGGACAGGTTAGACATGGAGCGGACTGTCACTTGGATTTCCCATGGGTACTTGAACAGAACATGTGGAGGTTTTCCCTGCTCAGTGTAACTCGCTATTTTCCTTCCAGGGGAGAGAAGGTAAATGTATCCAGTAACACAGGAAAGCTTCCTGCCGGGGAGCAAGGAGAAAAATTCGTTAGACTCAGAGAAGCAAAGCTAGGTTAGACTCAGCTAAACTCAGCTTGGCTAGAGTACCCAAAACTGGCCCACACTCTGGCGTCGAGGTAGTGACAGTCCACTGCTCAAATACTCCTCCAGATAGTGATCCAAAGAGCCGCAGGTGTGCAGGGAGGGACAGCGAAGACAGGGCACCTCCTGGTGGTGGAAAACGGAGACACACAAACAGGCCACACAAACTGGATTCCTAACAAAACAGTTTAAAATAATTAGGACTAACAAGGTTGGATAAGGAAACAAGTTTATTTTGCTACCACTCACATTTATTGTAGGAATATGTTAAGAAATTTGTAAAGCTTTCTGTTGGGGAACTGTTTGATTATCTGGCTGCAATAAAACATATTTTCTGGGTCTATTTATGCAGGTTCCAGGCCTGTTAAATGCAAAGTTTTATGTTTCTACAAAAAAATAAAAAATAACACTTATTGCATTGCTACAAATTGTTATTTTTTTTTCTGTGTGTGTGCATCCTCAGGTATGAGAAGGTCCCTGTGATCCTGGTGGGGAACAAAGTGGACCTTGAAAGCGAGAGGGAGGTATCTTCGGGTGAGGGCCAGGCCCTGGCCGAGGAGTGGGGCTGCCCGTTCATGGAAACCTCGGCCAAAAGCAAAACCATGGTAGACGAACTGTTCGCTGAAATTGTTCGACAGATGGACTATGCCGCCCAGCCAGACAAGGATGACCCCTGCTGTTCCTCGTGCAATATACAATAACCCCCTTGGGGTCCCCTGAGTTGCAGGAGACAGAGACGCTCTTAGACACACACACATGCACAGACATGCCAGCTACATTTAGGACAAATTCATGAACGTAATTAATATCAGTTCAGTGGAGCATTAAAACCCTTAGACAAGATAACTAATGATGACAAGTGAGTAATGCTTACACGTTGAATGAAAAAACAAAGATTATGCTGCAAGAGAGTTTGACTAATGACAAAATAGAACACACCCTCATCTTATGTTATGTTATTTTATTTTTGTTAGTACAGAGGAGTTTAACTTTGCAATCTTAAGGCAGACATCCTTTTTTTTCTTATGACTTTAATCCACATTAATCCAATAAAGATTTTTTTGGGAACCAGGCATTTCAGATATTTACAGTATTAGAGTCGCTGATGCAACATCTGTCCCTCATTTCAGTTTGTCTATTAGGCTTCAGGAGCTTTTTCTACTCATCACAGGGCTGAAATACAGAGGTGACCTGAAGGCACCTCCATTTGGTTGTATTTTTTCAGCTGATCAAAACAGTAATGGAGGGGAAAATGGGTAAGTGGGTGTCTTTCTTACAAACAGCGGTGCAGTCATCCACCTCCTCACATAGCAGTCCTTCACATATCATGTGATGTTTTCTTTTCTCCTCTCTTGGAGACTAACAGCAGATTGCTGTGTAGTAGTATAGCTAAATGCTTCATACTGATGGGACGTAGAGTATTTTTCATTCTTTGAAATTCCACCAAAGACTATCTCCACAAACTTCTGTCAAGTGTGAGTGATGCTCAAGGTGAAGATGCAAACTTCTCTTTCCCTCCTCCGTTATCAGTGTGAAGAGAAGCTCTGGGGAGTTCTGGCTTCCTTGCGCTTCTCTTTTCGTGCTGAGGGGATTCAGATTCATGTCAACCAGTAGTTTGAATATTTTATATTGAAAGTGCCAGCTCATTCAAAGACACTGACTCAACACATGGATGGTTTGCATGGCTAGAAAACAAAATAAGAAAAGGACTGTTTCTGTTTGAGATAGTTAGATCCTGTAGAAATGTGCAAATCAAACACATCTGAGTCTGGACGCTGTTCAGACTCTACCTTTATGTTTGAACAGGGAACATTCCTGCCATGAGGCCACGTACATTGTTGATTTTCTATTTTTTTATGTGACCATTTACTCTCTGCCCCTTAATGATTGGTGACACTGTTACATTTGACAACTGAACAATAAAAGTGAGTTCAACACCGGAGTGGAGCTCTGACAGCTTTTATGTGTAGTAAAATGAAGTGAATGACTGGACACCTTTAAATAAATCATCTTTGTGTGTTTCCTTCTCATGGAAGGACTCTTATTATACCACAGTCTTGCAGATGTATTCATTACCTTTGAGCTTTTTCATATATATTCACATTAGGCCACAAGCTTAAACTACTTATTTGAAATTTATGTCTGACCAACAAAAAGGTAGTCTAAGTGTAAAACGGCCTAAATGATGCAAAATCTATTTTTAGAGCTTTTTATATAATATTTCGCTTGATCAATGCATCTCTTGGTAATCTCGCTGGCTACTGCTGTCTGAGGAGACGCTCATCCCTGTCCTGTGAAAACCAGCTGAGAACATCTATGTAAGAGCTGCCTCCTCCAGGAAGCAGCTATCTAACCAGGCTGTGCCGGAACCGTAAACAAATGCCTGCTTTCTGCGATTAGGGAGAGGTAATGGGAGGCAGAGCACGATGATTAAAAGTTAAGATGAAGTGGTTTTATGAGCAGCCAAACTGCACAGGGGAGCGATTGTGCTTTGTTAGCTAATATTTAAAGGTATAGAAGAGGATATTTCCCTCTCCACTTAAAAAAAAAAAATAATGCACATACACAGCCCTGTATATAAGAGTGTGCACAAGCCCATTTCTCCTCGTGCCCACTCTGTTTAAAAGTTGCTGTTTGCATCGCTCATACAAGCTTGCGTTCCAAAAAAAGATTTGCAATTTTTTCCACTATGTCAAGCTCACCACAGGTAAGTGAAAATGGGGACGAGCACGTAGGACGTCCTTACATAAAAACATATCACCAGAATGAATTGACAATTAGGAGAACCACTTATATTGATTATCAAGCCTGAAAAAGAACATCCTCCACTACAACTTTAAGATGTGAATATATGTTGGGGGGGGGGGGGCATGAGAGATCTTAGACTTTGTTCAGCCTTCAGAAGCAGTGTATTTGGTGATTTCATGAAAATGGAGACAGCCGGAGGGTGAGAGTCAGCTTGTGTTTTGAAGGTGTTGCACTGATGCCATTTTTTGGCCCTGATACCTGGTTGTGCAGTATTGGCCGATACTGATACTATCTTTTTGAAATTGATGTGTGTGTGTGTGTGTGTATATGAAGAACTGCATACTACTTGGATGTAAAATAATTGCCATCATGGCTTTTCAAGCTGCTGCCTACCTTTGTGAAGCAGGAAAAAGACTTATACAAAATTAATCCAGTAGAACTTTTTATTGCCTACCTGGAATGGGTGACAATAGTTAAATAAACGTTTGGCTCTCAAAATGATATCTGTACCCTATTTGTTGATACCAATACCACCATTTTAGAACTGGATCGGGGCCCCAACCGATACTGGTATCTGTATCTGTGCAACACTAGTATTTACCTTACAGATTTCTTCCTTTTTGGTCACACTTTATGTTTTTTACCAGGTGTGTAAGTAAAATCCACCCTACCTTAGCAATTATGAACACTCTAAATAAATAATGAAATTAATGATTATTCAAGTTTAACCATGACCAATTAAGAAACATGACTTATTACTTGTGAGTGATTACTTCTATAAATTAGGTAATTTGAATGTTACATGCATGTAGGTAATTTAAAATGGAAAATCTATTTTTTATTTCAACTCTTTTCCTTATTTGATATTCTTACAATCTAATAGACAGTTCTCTAATGCTAATGCATCAGAAAAATATTTTCCATAGACTACTGGCTTTCTTACCCTCTGCTGTCATCATCCTCCTCTGGTAGTTAGTTACATTATGTAAGCTGGTCAATGAGGAACTTGAATGTGTGGACTGGGGCTGGTTTATATCGATGCAGCTTTATCCAATCTTATAAGTCAGGTCCTGATGAGCGGTGGAGGACCTGATGATGACAGGAGTCTCAGTGGGGTTCATTAGAAGCCATGGTCCCTGTGGCATCACTCAGTCTGCCGCAGGATCATTTGCACTGGTGGTAACATATAGGCACATGAAGTACAATACCCCTGATGACTAGTAAGGGGGTTTAATGAGAATAAACTACCAGATGTGTACAGAGTTCAGCCTGATTGTGCCGTTTCATGTTGTTAAATTTGCTCCACTTTTCCACTAAAAGTCCTCGCAAAGTTAAAAGCAAGGAAAACTCTTGAGGATCTCAATGCAGTGACATGGGATAATTAATTTGCAAAGGGAGGGAAAAAGGCTAAAATCAGCTTGAAAGCAAACCCCTTTGCATCTCAGCGTAGGTGTATGAATTAAATCGGTGCTGACTCACTGCTACGCATCCTCAGCTCTGTGAACCTGCAGCTCGGAGGCTTATAGATTCAGCAGCGACACAACAGCCTTTTTTGATATCCTTTAAATCCCTGTGTCAAATGTCTAGATGAAAAAGGAAAGCGGGGAGGGCGGCATGAGTCACCATCCCCATCTGCCCCCTGGTTGCAGGCGTGTAGCTGTGAGGGAGACATGCTCTAGAAACAACAAAAAAAAAAAGGTCACGTCTGACATGTCTGCTCTCTGGCTCTGGGGGCGTATGAGTTCAAGAGGCTGTTCCCAGGGAGCAGAGGGACACCCTGCAAGCACAGCACTTTTCAGGATAAAAGAAGATTCCAGTGCACACCGCAAACAAAAAGAGGGCTTTAAATGGCTTTAATGGGCTCATTGATCATTGGAGCATTAAAGTGTGAGAAAATTTAGCTTTCCTAACTATGTAGCACAGAGGAATGGTGAAAATCAATACAATGCAATACAGAGTGCTGTGAAAAAGTACTTTCCCCTGTATGGATTACTTTTGTTTTCTTCTCAAAATATCAGACCAAGGTTAGCTGAGTAAATAAAAATTTAAAGTTTTAAACGATGGTTGAGAAAACAAACTACCCTTTACAAACCTGGCCCTGTTCTATCAAAAAATAATAAGAAACAATGTTTTTCTTTTTTACAATGAGGGAGAAATATAGCCCACTCTTCTTTGTAGAAACTGATTGATTCAGCCAAATAGAACTGCAACCATGCATGGACAGTTTGTTTAACATCACACCACAGCATTTTAATCAGCTTTGTCAAAACTCTGACTATACCAGATGGTTTGCTCTGGATCACTGTTTTGCTGCATTAAAATGTGCTTATAGAAACAAGCTTAGGGTCACAACCTGGTGGAGGAAGAGTCTCCCTGAAAATCATCTTCAATGGAGCATTTTTCACCATCCTACACTGCAAAAAACATCTAGAAATAAGTACAAAATTTCTTAAAATAAGTGTATTTACCCTTAATTTTAGTATGTAAAAAAGATGATTTGCCAATGGAATTAGTATTTCTACTCCTAAAATAAGAGAATTAGATAATATTCACTTGAAATAACACAAAGCAATTGTTTTTTTCTTATTTTAAATGTAAATTGTCTTGTTCCATTGGCAAGGTGTCTCACTTATCTCCTCAATTCAAGACAAAATTCACTCAATTTAGCAAAAATAAATCATACAGATTTCCATTTTTTGCAGTGTATAATTTATGAAAAATCATCCAGGTCGTAAAGCAACACAGTTCCCCTGACTATTACACTACCACCACCATGTTTGATAGAAGTTTTTACAAAAGACGCACTTCTGTCCTCCCAGAACTTTTCACGAAATATCTCAGGAATCATAAGGATTTTTTTCATTCTTTTGGTCAGTGGTTTTGGCTTCAGTAATCTCCTATGGATGTCATTTTGGACCTGTCTCTTTGTCTGAACACTTGCCTTAAAGGCAAGAGAGGCACTTCTGCAGCACCTCAGATACAGTTCTTGGTTCTTTTGTGGCCACCTAGATGTGTCTTTGATGTAATTTTAGTGTAATTTAAGGAGTATGACCAAAGTCGGGAACATTCAACTTTGCTCCATGTTTTCTCCATTTGTGGAAAAAAAAATGTTTCTCACTGTGATACATATAAGTCCAAAACCATAGAATAATTATGATGATATAATAATTTCCAGACTTTTAGACCACAATGACTGTTGGAACACTTCTTGAACATTTAACCAACCATTTAAGCTACTAATTCCCATCTCTCACTTCCACTTCCCGCTGTTGGTCCTGCTTCCTTGTTGTTTTTCCACTTTTTAAATTTCACTTTCCTGTCCATAGTTGCTTCCCAGTTTTTGAGATATTGTAGCTGTTGTGCATGGTTAAGGTTATTTTACTTGTTGACCTTTAGAAATAAATAAGCATCTTTCAGTGGGTTTTAAAACATTTTAACATTTCAGTCAGAAGGATAGTTCCTGTTGCCTTGGACCTGTAGCTAATAACAACATGGTAGGATTTTTGTTAGATCCACTGATAATACCAGCTGTCATCTAACTGTGACAATAAGGTACCAAGTTTACTGATGTTACTGTTTCTCTGATTGTGTTATCTAATCACTGTGAAATGTTCACCGCTGCTTTCTTTTTTGTAAGGGTAGGAGGGAGAGCTTTCAGCTTAGATTTTCCTCCACATAATGCACTTCTGGGTGAACACATCTGTGTCCAGGGACAGGGATAAAAAGACAAGCGGTGGTAAACTCTTTTTTTCATGTTTGTCATTCACCCACCTTTTCACTGGCAGAGGGAAGCATCTCCTGCGCATTTACTTGTGTGGGACTGATGGTGGAGAAATCACTCTTGGTGTCTTGGCAGATTTAGAGGTACTCTGGAGGCTCTTTGTTGGAAGTGCAGCAACAATGAACAGGAAGCTGAGAAAGCTGCAGAGAGAAAGGGGAAAACTGGTTTCGGATTAGTTATGTAAGCAATCAGATTTAGTGCAACAGCCTTACTGATTGCTAACTCACTTATGCAATCGTAAATTAAATCAATTTTACTTTGCACTGATCAAAGGAATTAAAAGACAAAATATATGCTGCAGTTTGCAGCAGTTAACTTCAAGAAAACCTTTCAGCAAGAATGCAGTAAGAATTAGCAGCATATCATGTGTGTAAAACTCTCTAAGGTGAAAC